GTGCATATTTACATAATTTTATAAGCAGTGAAACTGATTTCACATGAAAAGAAATGTCCGTTTTTAAACAATAAATTAATCACAGTTTTCCTTCAGTATGTGTTGTTCTGTTGAAGACAATGCGAAGTTTTTTATGGTGTCTTTGCTTTCTTTAATTATAGATTAATGCGGTAAAAAGTACTTTTTAGTTTTTAATTACTCCGATTCATCCGCGATACATTCTTGCAAATGTTGATCTTTTACAACTTTGTAATTCTCATGAAACTTTGGATTGTTCTTAAATGTGCACTACAGCGACTCAAATTGATTTTCTGCTACTTGAGAATTATTCCGTAATTTCCCTGCATGCTTGTTCCACGACAAGCACTGCACAGTTTATGGCAGGACACCAGAAAACTTCGCATTGGCTTCGATAACGTGACCTATTGTCCTCAAAATTCTAAGGATTCATGATTTTTTTAAAAGTAACATCGTCTTCTGAGCTGTGGCTAACTTCATATTTATTATAAATTCTCAAAGCTTCCAGTTACCATACATTTCTCATCAATTCGGACTTCGAATGAACTACTAAACTGTTTTTAACTTGTATGAAATTTTATATGATATTAAATATTTCTGATGCATTACACGCGTTTTCTGTTCCGCTCATAGATCACCCAAGTTAAGTTTCTAGAGCTATTAATGATTAAAAATTTCCGCTGACCTTTCCTGTAAATCATCCACAAGCATCCATACATCAAACTATTTTTACGAAATTATTTGATAGAAGCAAAATAATATTTTTATCTTTTTAAAAATATTTTTTGAGCGAAAAATATGTTATTTAAAAAGAAATGAAATAAAGCAATTACATTTAGATATTGATGAAGCTAAGTTTACTAATAACTATGTAAAATAAATTAAACAAATTAGTTACTTTCTTTTGGATACTGAGTAGAGCCATTAGGATTTTTTTTGGAGGCCGGAGAGATGAAAAATTAGCAACTGCCTTCGCCGGGAATCGAACCACGGACCTCTGGAATACCGGCCCAGCGTGCAGTACCACTACACCACGAGGGCACACTAGGAAGGCGGGAGAAACACCTTACAACTGAATAGTTATAATTTACTACATTTCATGCATGTATATTATTCGCATAAGGACCGCACCACTCGCCTTTTATTTGTACAACAGCCGTACCAGCCGCATGCGGTTTATAAGCCGGCTGTAGCCACCCCTTCTATATATTATTCTAAAACAAGGAAACTGAGGAGAGTGAAGATAGCATCTGAGTTAAGATACCAGATTCATTTTTATTTGTGTATTTCAGTTAAACTTGAAATTTCACTACGATGAATGGTTTAAAAGACTTGCATACATATATATATATATATATATATACCTTTCTGAAGAAACAATTAGATGACAAAATGTTTCTCTGACTGTTTTCAAATTGTCTGGCAAAACTGATTCTGTGACCCAAAAGTTAGATTTTTGGAAATCAGTATTGCAAAAAGTGAAACGAAAATATAAGAAACGTTTTATAAGTTTTGATCTGAAAAATTAGTTTTAGCTACAAAAGAAGTCGAAGAGACATAATTAAAATGACTCCAACATTACTTTCTCCCATTCAAAATGAACAGTGGCAACACTGCTCGAAATAAAAAATTTTTATCTCGAGCGTTTGAGACTGTTCCCGTTCGAAAATTTAAGATACTTATCTTTAATCAACTAACTCAACTATTTAAAAGCAATGCGTAGCTACTGCCTGAAATAAAATACTTTTATCTTCCATGCTCACCTTGTTGTCATCCAGTAAAGCATAAGATATTTAACATTCTTAGTTAATGAGTTAATGTGTCTGTTATCGATTAAACAAACTAAGCGATTTAAAGGCAAGCGGAGTTCTTAAGAATACTTTTCCGCTTCTTAATTTAAGTGATTTAAAAAATATGTAGAAATATTAAATATTTTTATGAAATTAGACTAAATGATAAAAATTATAACACATTTTCCCGTTATATTATAATTATTTTAATATTTTAAGTGGCTGGCCCTGCAAGCGGTTAGTAATATAAAAAACAAAATATACCAAAGAAATATAAGCAGTTTCCAATAAAAGTTGTTTTGCACGACTTTCCCCCCCCCTCCCACTCAAAAATGAAATTTTCTTTGCAAGAATGAGTAAATATTAATCCTTCGACAATTGCAAGATTAAGCCATTCTTTCTTCCCAAATACGCGCGATAACTGTTATTCAAATTGCATCGTAAATTTGAAATGCAAGCTGGTTCATTTGTGCCCACTGCGGTTCATAACTGGAATGTACGCTGAGCTCGTTGATGACCATTAAACGGTTGACTAAATTAATTTTGACAAAAATTGCTCTTTTTTCCCCCCAATTCACCATACTTTCTGGTCGCCCTATATAACAGAAAACCACTTTACAAATAACTGTTCTTAAGTAAAGAGTATGGTACTTACATTTAGTTCAACACTTTAAGACCAGGCATACGATTATCAAAATAAATTACTGCGCTCAGATGAAGCAAGGTATTTTCTTATTTTCGAAAATGTTCATTCGATAGAAAGAGTAAAGAAAATAATCTATTTCAAACCTTTCCGAACTTTCCTTTAATCCTTTAACCAGAATTATGTTACATTTGTGTGTCTGTTTATAAACGTAAGCAAACATAGCACACCGTTTCCTTATACACTTTTAGCATAAATTAAATTATGTAGAAAAATGTGTATTTACTGTAAATATCTACATGGGTTTAGGATAGGGTTTAATTTTTAATTGCATAAAGCAGAGGTGTGAAACTCAAATTGCATGCATGCCTTCCCTAAATTTTGAAATCGACGTTTACAAGAAATTTCTGCTAGTTAAACTTTGTAATTCAAACGTAACTGATAGCTGAACATTAAATTTTCGGACTGATATTTATTTCAAACAATTCTAATATGACGAATAAACCTCCAAACGACTTCCTTTATTCTTAACTAAAAATAAACAAATTATGAAAGCTTTTCAATTGGGACAAATAATGACAGCCAATTGTCTTACTTTTCTTTATTAAATTTTTCTTTGATGCATACAGGGAAAATACATGCATGTCAATAATTAAAAACTTTATTTTTTACTATAAATTTCAGTTATGGCGTTCCGATTTTGCTAAAGATTGTAACCTTAGAGAAAAATAAATAGCTATCTTCATCACGAAATGTAGATACTTATTGGTCAATCTTGTAAGTTTTTTTAGACTAATTAATTTTGAACTGTAGAAAAACAAGATAGTTCACATATAAATGTGCTCCGAAACAAAGTGATTACTCTTATTCCAAAAACTTGTAACTGAGGCTATTTATCTTCTGAAAAGTAAGAATAAAACAATCAAACTTATATCGTTAAAATTTTGAGCAAGATTTTATATCACAGTGTAAATTAATTAGCTCCACCTGCAGATTTTCTGAAGCGTTTACTCGAGTTCATTTTTAATGGGACTGAAAGTAATGTAAAAGTGGACTTCAGATCATTAAATTCTTAAATCTTTCTTCAATTTCTTGGTATAGTAAAAATGTTATTAATTTAGGCGAAATTCATTTGAGAACCGTTCAAAATTATTTCGTGGCCCCTCATGCGAGCCGCCAGTTTGAGACCACTGACTACGCAGCCATGCACAAGGAGAGAAAAATGTGTAGTTTTTACTCGTTTAGTAAATTTTACAAGTATGGAAAAAATGAGCAGTTTTTAGAGAAAGTTTAGCATGCAGAGAAAAATATCTACACGATTAGCGAAAAGTGTGTAGTTTACATACGTGTGGAGATCGTATCGCGACTGCAGAAATGTGCATTGTTTTCATACTTCAAGCAATGCTTATACATGAATAAGAAAACTAAATGGGGAAAAGGTTCGTAATTTTCATTTGTACGGAGAGTTTTCCTCAAATGGAGAATTTGTTAATCAGTATATGTATGTAAATGTTCTGGAAATAGGCACGATTAGAGCGTCAAGTAAATTGTGACCACAAACGTCGATTGAAATAGAAATGAAGATTTAATCTGCCTCGACTGCCAAATTTCTTATTCATTGTTCATCGGCATTTCAGTATTCTAAGTGTTCAGAATTTTTTTTCTTCAATATGGATCTACGTTCTACGCCTAACAACACTGCTACATTTCTACGTCTCAGTGTTCCTACATCAGTACTTCTAAATTTGCTTTTTATATATATTATATATATATATAAGTAAGAACTTAAAATTGCTACATGTTCTATCAGAATGCCCTTAACTATATGAATATGTGAATGATAAACTAATATCAATGTTATATTATATCTAATCTACTCATCAGAAACGTTTTTAACTATGAACAATATAAAAGATACCAAATTCGAAACTAAAGTCCTGTAATCAACATATAAGTACTTCTCCCGCCTTCTTATATGCCTCGTGGTGTATTGTCGCATACTCGGGTGTATTCGAGAGGTCCGTGATTCGAGTCCGGTGAGGGAGTGCTCATTTTCCTCTCTTTGCTTAGCAATACCTTAGTGCTTACAGTGGCGACGAACTAAAAATGCGGTGGATGATGATTTCCATACCAGAGTTGGCGACTAGGTCCCTCTCCGCAGTACTTTTAAAAAGGGAATATAAGGTATTCTCCACCTTCTTAGCATGCCTTCGTGGTGTAATGGTGAGCATACTCGAAGCCTATTCGAGAGGTCCGTGGTTTGAGTTCCGTCGAGGGCATTGCTCAATTTTCATGTCTCTTGGTTCGAAATAACCTTATGTCTCTACAAGCATATAGATCAATTAATATAGCAACATCTAATTAAAATGAAAATATACATATACATAACATTTCATTTTTTACTCAGCTGCGAGGAATCCTATTTTTAAAATAATAGATTAAGCTTATGGAAAACGTTGGTGAAAAGTTCTAGTTTAAAAAAATATGTTGCTAAAAATGTTTATTTATTTATTATTTTTATTACTTACTTACTTATTTATTTATTATAGGAACTCCTCTTTCCTGTGATTGCCGCTTGATATGGCTTACAAAAGCAGACAACAGCAAGAAATTCATCCACGCTGAATGCTACGGCCCAGCTTCTTTTAAGGGAAGACCTTTGCATAGTGTACAGCCTCACGAACTGTGGTGTTGAGCGTTGACAACAATACAGCTTTTAATAAATATATATAAACATCCAGTAAAATACAGGGTTGTTATTTATTACATACTTTACATTTATTTCAATCAAAATGAGCCACTTCTAGTGTTGCCATCAATGAATGATATTCATTTGAATAGCCCAAGGTTTTCCTTAATAAGCTTTACTTAAAAAAATAATTATCTTATACAAACAGCATAACAGATATCTGTATCCTATAAATTATTCGAAATCAACAAAGAACACTAGATTATCAAAATTATTGAACTAGATGCAGGAAGAGAAAATTGCAGCATCAGGATTAATTGTTTAAAGCCATGTTAAATATAATTCCAATTCTAGCTATGTAAGCTCTGTCTCTTCTTTTCTACCAGCACGGATGAAGGGTGGAAATAATCCTTTATTAATTCAACTCAGAATAGAAAAGGCTTGTACAACGTGTTTTACAATAACAGCGACCACTTTCAGTGGAACTTAAACGTTTTCAAGTCTAAATAGAATAGTGCTGGATCAGCACGTTAAGTTACGGCTAACTTAAGTTGGTTCTACAAAACCTAACAGGCGTGACGATTGCCCGAAATGGCCAAGGGGCGTACTATCGTAACAGCAACATAAGCAACGAAACGTGCGTTGGCTAGGGAAAACACACTCTGTATAAACTCAGATATTCACCAGTTTAAATACTCACTTCACTTAACTTTAAATTTACAACCTGGCGAGGAAATGCGAGGGGGGTTGCGGAGTTCAGGAACGGTAACAAAATTGGAATAAAATGCTAGTTAACTAAAGGAAACCCTACAGCTATTATATGAAACTCTTAGGTAAACTCATATGCAAAATTAGACTCTGCAACTCACAGTCAAACTACTGTTCTAAAAAGGACATTCTAGTTTATGACTTCACAATACGTGCCGCAAAGTATCCAGCATAAACTATAACTGATGCCTACATCAAGCAAGTTACATGTGATTACGAATCACATTATTTATATTGGATATAAACAATAATGCTAGTATATGCCATGATTTGAAAGAAGTATGTATTATAAGGTTTTTCCGTCTTCTTAGCGGCCTGTGGTTGTAGTGGTTGCACCCAGCGCGTAATTGAGAGGTCCGCGGTTCGATTCCTGCCGAAGGCGTTGGTAATTTTTCATCTTGTCTGCTTCCAAAAATATCTAATTTCTCTACAGTGTATTGCATTAAATCTTGTAGAATTAACACTATTTTATGATCGCTGCTACCAAATCAAGCCTCACATATCCGAAATAAAATCCACGGCATTTTTAATTCCTAAAAATGGCATCAAACTCACAAGTAAGTCTTGATTAGAAATGAAGGAATATATAATTAAAATAACCAGCACACTCAAATACCTCGGACTGACCTGAGAATCAAATCTTCTATATCACATATAATGTATCTCAAATATCAGATGCTAAGAATTATGTATAAACGTCGGGAGTTTCAAGGTGCTAAGTGGAGCCTGAAACCACAATACAGAAAATATTCTACACAAAATGTTATACCATACGCAGCGGCAGTCTGGTCAACAAACAATGCAGAAGAGAAAAGTAAAGCTCCTTCTTCCAAAATCCAGTTTACATTTCCCGGGTTCATCGTACACATTCTACAGCTTCAGCAAATATCCTATACATACACAGACAGAATAA